ATCTGTTTAAACGCGCTCCGTTTATTTAAACAAAACTTTAGTGAGTGTTAGTATTAGTGATTGAATTAATTTATCTGAACGTAAATCACCATTATATGAACGAGAAATCGTAAGTAGTAAGAAGAATCAGTATATTTCTACGTATATATGAACTTTAGTTATACGACCTCACATCCGGCAACGGTTTCAAATGAACGAAATTCTATCGTATATCTAATTTTAATACGAAAGTTGATAAACTTAGAAACAAAGGATATGAGGACAGAGCTAAATTAAAACATTTCAACCAATCAGTCTTAGCAGAATATCATATTGAATCCAGATCACTAGTATATGGCTTTGACAAAACTACTGTTATTGCAAAAACATCTTCATATTTTCCTCGAGAACATCGCGAAGCAAATAGAAATTTAAAAATATCCGAACAATGTGATTCGACGCAACGAATACGACACCAACTGAAGTTGGCACTTTATCCTCCCTTTTCGATTTTTGTTTTTAATTCGATTGAAATTCGAATCAAATTAAAGAACAACTTCCGGTTTGAATATCCAGTTTGAACTTCCGGTTGGATAGACCAATCATGGACAATCAATTGCAAATTAACCATCATTATTATTTGATGTAGAATTATTAATTGCATCATGATATGTGGCCACAATTAGTAATTACGTAACAAATAATACGAGTCAATCATCTGTGAGAGCATTTCTCGTTCTATAACGATAATTATTGATATTTTACCGTACTTGTGAATACCCTTTATTTCGATCGTGGAAAAGAGCAATTACATTTATTTTCATGGTCTTGTACACGTGTATAAAGTAAATGTCTTTTATCAGAACGCGTGGGCAGCTGCTTATACTCAACAAGCAAAAGGCGAAGGAACTTTCAGTCAGACACTTTTGTGCAGTTCATTCTAAAATCAATGTTCGCTAATCTATATAGAACAATCAATCTGTTCTTCAAATAGTACAAGAACTTTAAACGATAACGAGACTGCGCTAGTTTTGTAAATTAAAACAAATTGTAAAATCACGTACTCGTCATTTTACATTAATTTACTATAATTCGTATTTCATTCCTCGAGTTATACTGGCACTATGTATGTGTATATATATGTATTTGTACGTTCTTTTTTAATTGTTACGATGAACAATTAGTATATTTGTTGTGAAATCAGAATTTTAATTAGCGAACTTTGATTTACATAATCTTTTGTACGGAGGACAATAAAATTCTTAAAATTCAAACAACCACAAAGAGCGATACATCTTAGATAATAATATAAGTGATATCGATGGCGCAAATTCACCTTTTATGCAGACGTAAAAAGACTCGTTTAAGTAATACTTACTCGCGAGTTCTCAAATGTGCGTATGGATTTATGCCATGAATAAGATGACGAGGAATCATCGTCGTAAAAATCGCGATTCTCAGGATCCAGAAAGTTGCTGAAACTTCCTGTAATCGAACGCTTGAAAATAAGAATAGTGCAAAAAGCAGATATCTCGTTTCGAAAAATTTATACTTGAAACACGAACACTTTGTACGAGTAAGTAAGTAGAGAAACAATTTACAGTTCGATAATATTTCACTTGCACCATTCTCAATTTATCGAGAGATAAAGATTGGGCGTGATATTATTTACATAGAATTAATCTTCTATAATCTTTTACATGAAGAATCATGTCTTTGAACTTTGATTAACGTGCCCTTAACGAGTGTTAAGATAAATCTTAATGTAAAAGTTGTACGATTGAATATTAAATCTCTACCGACTAGCATCATGATACTTAATAAATAATCATTTGAAGTAGCGGAATATCTTGATATTAAGCATACTTTTGTGCAAATATTTCATTCGCTTAGTCATTGTACAATTGGTGTAGCATCTTTGATGACTAGAATCGTAAATTTACCTAATAACCATCGTAACTTTGCTCAGGTCCTTAAGTCTTTTACGCATCTTAATTGCTTGCTTTCGATAAAAAATAAGTTAATTATTATTCCTTAATTAAATAGCTAATGTTATGTAATAATAATTAAATAACTTAAGCGTAAGCTTTTTAAGTACATAAATTATTTTTTAGACACGTAATAAAATTATGGACCTTGGCAAAAATAAGCGACACTCTTCCTTCTGTTAAATATCAAGATTTTCAAAATTATACGTATATTACATACGAATATATCGCGCTTATTAGCAATTAGTCAATTGCTAATTAAACTTGTTTTAATTCGCGTAACTAACAATAATTCCATTCTATCCAAGAACTTGTAATATTCTCGTGTATCTCGAAATAATTCCATTCCTAACTCCCCCAAAATTGCTGGTTCGTGAAGTTTCATAATTGAACGTTGTTCTCTGAGTTTAATTAATACAATAGCTTTCACTTATGGTATAAGGTTATTCCAAAATAGTTTCTAGACTTGATAGATTGCACAGAGAATATGGGTAACTACTAATTGTTTCGGCATTCCTATTTCTAAATATCTATCTTCTTCTTTGGGCATAATTTCGACACCGAGTTTCACCTAGAATATCGAATATCTATTTATAGAGAAATATTGTCTTTTCAACATTGTTACATATACATATCGCAAATTACGTCGAGAAGATTCAAAATATTTTCTCGTTTACTATATCTCTAGTCTTTAAAGTTCACGAGTATATTGTTGAAGAAGGTAGAAAAATATACACTTTCGTGTAAAAAAATAAATAGTTTGGTGGTTATCTCAGAATCTGATTGTTGTATATAATATCTTATTTTCGTACTCAGTTACCATTTATTCAAATACGCATGTAATCGTTCATTGAAAGCTTTACTTCGAGCCGAGTTTTAATATCAACGCCTTGCAAACAAGTTGCTTTTAAAATTTTTATTTACGTTAAATTTATTACGCTCGTTTTGGCAGATATTTGACGAGGGATATTTCAATTTTTGTTAAATGGTCCCAGTATTCTGAACTTCCATATTCCGATATGATAGAAAAATAGTATCTGTTGTCAATAAATTATTTCTATCCTGTTTACAAAATGTTCAATATATTTTTCTCTTAGAGTATCGATACAATAGCATCGATTAATCCAACCACCTGGGGGAGATGGAAAATTGAATATCGAAGTACATTTACGTTCTGTCTTTTAACAATAACGTTAACAGTGTTGCCGAACTGGATAGAGAAATGTATGCGAAAGTTAGTTATTTAACCATAAAGATAATCAGAATTAAAATTACCATACAAATGCACCGATATCCAATTTCTTCTTCTTTTCGTCACAAAATGCATTCAGCACTTTATCCATTTTCTTAAAACGTTTTCTTAAGACACTTACAGCTACAAGCTTGCTATCGTTCGCTTATTGTTTCAAACAATCTTTGAACGATTGTCTCCACATGATTTAGTTACGCACGATATGTAGTACGTTCGCGTCTTTTACTTTCATCGAATTCACTCCATGAATCACAAATTTCCTCTCGCACAGGCGACAGTCTTCAACAACGTACGACGAATTTATCAATTATTAGGAAACAATCGAAGACGAATCAACGACCGATTATGGTCGGTTCGTCAGCCATCGCAATTTCTTCCGTCGGTGCCTTGTCCCTCTTTCGCTTCCTGGAGAACACCATAAAGGCACAACCCGCGAACAGGTTGCAGAGAAATACTATCCAGGCCAGAATCAGAGAAAAGTCGTACTTCGTGGTTGCATCGTTTGGAAATGTCGTGTGTACATGTTTGCTTTCGAACTCGATCGAGGACAGAAGCACTTGTATCACCACCATGTTACAAGCGGCTGAAACGAGATAAAAACGATGATTGGATCGTTAAAACGTTGTAAGTTAAGGATAATAAAACACACAGCTTTGAGATCTATTATACGTAGAGCTACTAAAAATTAAACGCTAGATCGGAAGTTTACGAGATCTTCGCGTTAATAGAACGAAACATAGAGCGAGAGATAGAACAAAAAATGCAGTGATTCAATAAACCAATAATAAATCTGTATCCATGACAGTTACTAAATTAAACTAGTAATTGTGTTAATTACCACTAATGAAATGTATTCCACCAGCCAATCGTTTGAACATATATCGTGGATTACGAAACGTGTAGATCGAGAAACAAAAGCCCATTATCATCACGAATAGGCTGATTATCGCGAACGATGCCTGTGTCCTCGAATAATCTGCAAGTGATAAATTGAGAGTAATTCAAGTGTGGCGATGCTTTCATAAATTTCTTTTATAATTAATAGTATCGTCTATCTTTCAATTACGTCAAGCACATGTAGGTTTCATTTTGTATAAGGTCCACAATGATAATGCATTTTTTAAACAAATGTCTCCGTGTATTTCGAGCAAGCATATTTCAAGTGGATGATTCTTCGAAAAAGAATTTAAAAAAAGAGAGAACAGTACGCTGGTAATTTAGTTTCACTTACTGACTACAGTGTTTAATCCTGGGTTCAACTTGAACTGCTTCTCGGTTGGGAACATGTCCTGATTCTTGCACTCCTCTGAAAGAAAAAAGATGAAAATGTTGGATATTAAATTAAAAGTTAAACTACCGCTTGATTAATGTAGACTTCGGCTCGTTGTTTGCAAGCGTGATGCACGAATCAGTTTGCGTTAAATCCCTGGTTTACAGTAATCACCCTATCCATCTTCATTTCTCTCCCAGCTTCCATTTACTATTTTCTCATCCTGGTTATCTTTCTTTGCCTGGAACGCCTCGTTCGTGTCTCGCGTCATGGTGAGTTATTTTTACGCGCAGCCTTTAAACGGAACTGGAGAGACAATGAGACCGTGATCAATATTTATACCACATGATATTTAATCCTTCGATTACGCGAGCTACGTTCGACGAAACGTGAATCCATCACACCTTAACGAATATAATTAGGAATTTCCGCGTAAAGATTTACGAATTACATAAACGATTTAACGATAAAAATTCAGTGAATACGTGTCGTCTAAAAATATGGGAAGTGTCGTTTCGTATTAGTACAAGGATAAATTCTGAAAACAGGTTACAGATGAAGATACGATGAGAGCAATGATCGACCCTTGGACAATTTATGATGATATTACGGTTATCTAACTCAGTTCTGGCATATGCATGATGAAGCACAGGTGTGGAACAGTAGACGTGACGTATGACAAGTCAGTGTACAGCTACAGATGCGGATTCTGACATAGCCATAATTAACTACAAGGAGTGAAATTAACTGCTTTGGTTAGAGAATTACTCCTCTTTCTTTGTCAGGTCTCTAATTGCTTCGAATCTGCGATATTGTAACGACAAATTCGAAGAGAGAAGAGCAAAAATTCTATCCACGATATTTGATTTAAATCGGCGTATTTTAAAAACATTACGATAATAAGAGGAGTTGCTGCAATTGTGAAAGAAAAGAGAAATCTGTACTCGTAGATTTTTATTTAAAGTTTATCAGGCTAGTGCATCAAAGTGTGAGCAAACGTATAAATTAAGTACCAAGAGAGGTTTATAATCGAGCTTGGTTTATTGAGGTATGGTAAATCTCCGGATGACATAGTGGATGAATATCCGCCTTCTTTAAGCAAAAGTGTGATAAATCAAAGTCTGTTGGGCAACGGTGCGTATTGGTTTAACGTGGTGTAAATGATGGAAACTGTAGGCGAAAGAGAGTAACTCTGATCGTTCAACGTTGAAAGAACGTATGTATGCGTATACTTTGTTGAAAATGAATTATCAATGTTGCAGAAGGTCGTTTGCCTAACATAGTGTTACAACTAATGCAATTTTATTCTACTGTTTCTATTTAAAGCACGGGAAACTAACGAGCGTAGTTTCAGAATGCATTTATTCTTTATGTATATCGATTATCGAACCCGCCTTTTTTGAAACGACGCCATCGTCATTCGGACAGCCAACATATCGTGGCACGTCTCTTATCCCTCGTTCCACAGGTGTGGAATTCTTTGCCATTAATTTGATGAAGATGTAAAATTTCTCAGTGGTCGTTTCCAACGGAGTGTATTGTCGTTTCTGTCACGAGCTCGCCCGAATCTAAATTACGTATAGCTGATTTAATTATTGGGAAGGCACGACGAAAGTTGTTTGAGCCAACTACAAAGAGAATAACTTGGCTGTATTGGGTTTACTTCTTTTTACCGTGACTTTGATCAAAGTTAAACTTCATAAACGTAAATCAGTTACAAGGCTCTGTTTCTCCAGTAAATTTCGAATCATTAAACTCACTTTAGGTGACCGATAAAATATGGCTATCCGATTGAACAGCAGTTTCGTTTTATTAAGTTTTCCACGTTTCACAGCAGACCGAACTTTCCAATATTACATGAAAATAATATAAAAATGAAATGGGTCGTCCTTTCAAATTTCAACGTTGTGTCGAGAAAATACGGGGCAGGAGGATAATATTCGATAACATTTTTCAAACATTCCATACACTTACTGTAGGGGATCATTTCGGTGGAGTTTTCTGACTGTGGCATGGTCCCTTCCACACAACCTCTCCAGAGACCCATATGCTTGTAGATTAATCGTCTACCTTTGCTTGGATCCCCAAGGGGTAAACCTCCTTCATCCGGTGCTTCGACTATGAACCAGTGATCGGTTCCAATGGCAATCGACCATATGCACACTGACAGGCCAACGAGAACAGTACAACCAAGAAGAATTCGCCTCTCGAAGATTACCTGTACAACAAAACGTACACGAAATATCTAGAAATTTCATCTCGGTCCCGTTTCCTTAGTTTGTAAAAATAAATACTTATAAATATATAAAAATATCTAATTATAATATTTTATTTTCATTCAAAATTTTGTTACGTTCGCACAGAGAATTTAGGGAACCGTTCTGTTAGAATCTTTTATCGCACATGCAGTGAACCGGAAGTTGAAATGAAACGGTTAATTATAAAATGAGACGAGACAGAAATAAAAGCAAAAAAGTATGATATTGTACCTGATTGTATAACGCTTTCATTCGACTCGCCATTTTGTTCAATCCTTTGAATACCTGGAGTTCCTATTTGGCAGACGTAACGGTCTACTTCTCCTTTGTGATCCGACTTAATCACTTTGCTTAGTGCGCTACCATATTGCATTCATTATATATTCAGAGCTGACGTTTTCAGATGGCACAGAAAAGTTCTGATAAAACTAATATCTAATTATGTACTTGTCAGTTTTCCGAATATTCTTAATATTTACTGAATCTGTTTTCTTACAAAGAAATTGTCGATATTTCATTAGACGTGAAATTTACAGTGACATTTGTATTAAATCTTTAGAAATTCATTTACGTAGTTGTTCTGATTGGTTCGAGATTTACTTTTACAGGAATCAATGAGAAGCTTCCTGAAAGGTTTCAACTTCTTTGCTTTCCTTCTCTTTAATTCTCGAACATCTTCGTTATTTCTTTCAGGCATTCATTTCGATTATTTGTGTCACTTTTCCCAGTAATATTCCACTCAGTAGCTTCCATTTCTTTTCTTCTGTTCTGTATTTCGACGATTATAATTTTAATTCTTTAGAACTCTTCGGAAAGAAAGTTTCTTCTTACGATCACTTTGAATTCACGTAGTTTCACAGTTTCGTGAAATGTTGTTTGACAAGACCTGCAAAAGTAGAGAAAAGAAAAATTCATGATAGAGAAGCTGCGTAGACAATCGATACGATAACAAAGAACATTCGAGTACTTTGACAATCAATTCCAATCACGTATCCATCTTTTCACAAATCACTTACAACTATTTGGCACGAATTTGAAATTTCCACGGATACTTGACTCTCTTCGTCGCGATTAGTATACCGTTATTCTGTACACTAATATGGTTATTAACTTTGTAAACTGATCAAACATGCCTTAACATAATATGTACATTACACGTTTATCCAAACACGAAATGAACAAACACAATGAAAATTAGAAGGACGAATTTTAGATTCATTAACTTGGTAACAAATTTGTATTGTACAACGTAGCTTGTATTCATCTTCTTTATCTGATGCTTTTAAGATTATTTAACTTACGTTGTATAGCAATATTTTAGTGTTGAGTTGAGCGAAGTTGAGTAGCTCGGACGCCAGTATAATTTTAAAATTCCTTGGCTTTAAGTGTCTTTAGGGTTTATGGCTGAGAGTTGGGCGTAGTCAGGAATAATTTGTGAACTACTGTCATGTCTTCCATCTTAATTATTTACCCGTTTTATTGCCGCAAACTTTGATATGTGAGCCATTCAGGGACCAGACTGCATAATAATTGAATGGAATTCCTTACAATTAAATTAATGATATCAACTTTGTAATATTCTAATATACAGTGAAATAAAACGCAGTATCTCCTATGCAGACAAAGAAACTACGAGTTTGTGGTTTGAAAAACGACAATGCAAAAACACGAAGAAACATATATAAGTAAATTATACTACTACGTGCCTGAAATAATTTGGCAAGAGCTGGACTTTCTGCCGAAACGTATCAATTTCATTCTATTCGCCTTTACTACAAGGTTACAGCACATCAACTCCTTGAAGCAGCCAAATTAAATAATGCACCATGCCAAGTGTAGAATTTTGTTGTCATGTTCTCAGAGAACACGGGATTAGGAAGAGTAATCTCAATGGAAAAAACGTGAAATGTAAACAATCATCCTAGACAACGTGTATAGTCACGTGTGAATTTATTTGTTTTGTCAACGAAATCCACAATTTTGTATCGTGCCTGTTCCAACAAAGTAACTTCGTTAATCTAACCAATCATTTGTTAGCTCTCGCGCCGCTATTATGATTGAACGTAAAATAACCGAGCAGTTATGAATGACTGTATTAATCATAATCCAAACATTTTTAATCATAATCTTTTCCCAATCGTAATCCGATGCGCCAGTCTAAATGTAAATAAACTAGAACAGGATTAATCGGACATGATGAATGTACGTAATTTCTCCATCTGTTCGGCTTATAATTTTTCAAAATTGTTGTGAAAAAGGAGACATCGATCCTCGAGTGCAATCATTTTGCTCTTTTATACTTCATCGGCGCGGACAACGACGTTGACAATGCGAAAATTTTTTCTTGTATCGTTTTCACCGATATGAAATGGAAAATGTGAGAAGGCTATTACGAAAATAAATTTACAAACGCGTGCTTATAGATCTGAAAGGTCTAGAGCGAGATACTAGCTACTACGTCAGTGACTGGCGCAGATGCTAATGATTTTGTCACGATCATTGAACCATCTTCATCCAGGAATCTTAATTCAGAGATCTAGAAAACACTGTCTAGAGAAAATCCTTCGAATTCGTCAGATGCGCGAGAGATGAAAGTTATCGACGTGATGTTTGAATAATTCGATATAGAACGAAAATAGAAAAGAGGCGGTCTAGAAATCGTGAATAGAATTTACAGATTATAAAGTAGACAATTTATGGATTTCTTTTTATATTTTTCTGGTTAATCGGCCTATATTCGTTGAGCGTGAATCGTACAAAGAGAAAATAGACACGACGAACGCAGGTATAATACAGGAGTTGAGAAACTAGGTATGAGTCGCATGAGTTGTTTACCAGAAACGGAACATTTTGGCAAGACAACATCGACTGGCAGGCATCGGTAAATCGAAGATTTACTCTATATCGTTTCGTACTCTTCGATGAAATCTACGCTTCAATGAGACTATTTACTAATTAAAGTTTCCCGAACAATTAATTCGTAGCACTTTTGGCATAGAGTACGCAGAGTAAACAATCCATGATAGGAATATGTAAACACAAACAAAGTGCGTATTGCGTTACTGGCACGTGGCGACTGTTTCTCCTGCAGAGTGTTGGCCCGCATCGTACAAGAATAAGTAAATACTGGTAATATCCATTCTAGGAATCTTTGGCAATGAATGTTATTATTAAATATATAGAAATGTAAATATTGATTATACGAAGCAACATATTGTTAATAGTGATTGATATCTGTAGGAAAATTGGTTTACATCTGTTATCCGAACTTCTTCCAATTATTATACACGCGGTATAGAATCCTTTTGCTGTTAATTAAAATTTTAATTATGTTTGTTCCACAGTCTGACTCGTCCAATACAAAATACATCCATTTTGCTGAAATTGGTCGTATTTCAATAAAAGGCGGTTTAACGCGAACCCCTTCTGCGCGCAAAGGGGCAAAAATTTAATCGATGTCAAGAATACGCGGGTAGGTTTCATATACCACATTAATGGTAAGGTAAAATGGAACAAAAATGTTTCTTTTTATAGAAATCGTAAATTAAATGTTACTCAACTACTAGGAAAATTTTACTTATATGCCGAAAGCAATATTTTAACAACAGTGTTTAGAAAACTGGGACTTTGTTGTAATTAATATTAAGATTAAATTCGTACGAGATCATAGAGAAAAAGGCTACTGAGAAATCCATTTAAAAAAAGATAATAAACGCGTAAACATATTTTAGTAATGAATTATTATTCTCGATGAATGCTACAACTGTCATATCGTGTTTCAGTTTTATATCAAGCGATCAAACGATCAGAATATCACGCGAAAGAAACTACCACTGGCAATCGAACGATCGCCAAAAGTATCTTAAAGCCTACGATTTGTCGATGAATGTGTTTATCATAGCACACATGCAGACACGAATTTATGAGACTCGCAAATCGTGAAAAACGATCTTCGTGATCTATCTGTAGACATAAATTATCATGTGCAGTCACGTACTACAAAGTAATCATATCAATATACCAATATCCCCTGTTGTTTAAAAATGTTGTAGGAAGTTTTTCCTAAAACCTCTCTTACAAAATGAACCAAGCGGAGGAAAGAAAAAACAGGCTGTTTTGCTGATTTTGTATCGTATAGCGTGTTTAACTTGTGACATATGAAACTACAGAACCGCATATTTTTTTCTTTTTCATCTCTGATCAGAGAATAAACTTTGCAGAATTATTTCAGATCTTTTTAAAACCTAGAACACGTTCGTATCCTATGTTTCCCAGAAATTGAATTTTTTTTTAAGAGAAGCTATTTGACGTAATTTTATTTCCTGGGCAAAGTATTTCAATAACATCAAAACATTCCTTTGTGCTTTCAGGGCGGGTGTTTCATAAACATGATAAATAATTTTATTAATAATGGCATTGCGGCAAATCGTACAGGTATAATATAGCGAAGACAGGGTCATAAGAGGTTCCGTCGAGCTGAGGAATTACCGGCATTTGGCCTAGTTTTTACGAAACACGTTCCCTTTTTCACTTTCATGGCGCATTAATGAACTTCGTTTTTTGCCTCCACGTGAAAAAAATTCCCTTACGCGAACGTTGCTAATAATTTGATTTTCCTGCACAATTTTAGAACGAATTAACCTTATTTCCATTGGGCAGCGTTGTTTTCACTCGTGAAACAAGAAGCTGTGTTTTCGGTACAAAATTAGAATCTCTGTTCCGTTCATTAATTTTGCAACGGGGGAAAAGATTGTAGCTTGACTGACATTCGCTAGGAGAAGCTACCAGGAAATTAAAGTTATAATTTTCGCGATATTCCCAAAAAATTATATTTCGAAGCTGTTCATAAATTTATTCGAATATACGATGAACGTTAATTATAATGTTGGAAACGTGTAACGAAGCGTAAGCTAACAGGATTTCGAGCGAAGTTCTTTTTTAACTTCCGGATTCTATGGAACGCGCGGTGGTCTCAAACTTCTGGTCGGTAATTTATACAGTATTAACAAGAAAT